ATCTCATGCCTTTGATCTTGCTCTTGTTGAAGCCAATGCCACTCATGTCACTAATGTTTCTTTGACTTTTTAACATATGCTCAAAGGTGACTTTAGAGTTGTAGCACATCTCTAACTTGTTGCTCAAATTCTTCACTTGTTCATTGAGCTCATTGTTCTCCTTCAAAAGGTTAGTCTCACAAAACATAGAAGTAGAACAAGCGTCTATTTATGAAGAACATGGCATATCTAATAATTTATCACAAGAGGTGGATATATTCTTCTTGCCTACATCACAAGGGTTAGCAACATTATGTGATTGATCATTTGACCCATGTGAAGAGCTCTCACTAGTTTTAATTTCTTCATTAGAAAACCTCTTAGTGAGAAAAACATGGTCTTGTACCAAGTTATCATGAGCAACACTACGTTCCTCATGAGCCAATTTTAGCTCCTCATGTGAACAAGTAGTAACATAAAGTAGATGTTTTTGTTGTTCACATGTGCTCTTTAGAAAAGATTTTTCATTTTTTTAATTTCTTGGTTTTAGCCATCTCTTTTTCTAAAGCTTTGATCATGCAGCCATATCTATTTAGAAGCTCCTTATATGAATCAAGATCAATCACATTTGCATTAGATACCTTAGTGTCACCTTGTGACATGAAGCAATGTGATGTAGTTAGAGAGCTTGAAGAAACATCACTTTCATAGCCCGAGCAAGATCCATCATCAACACCATCAATCTTGTCAAGTGATCTTGCGGTAGAATCATCATCATCACTTGAACATGAGGTATAACAATCTTCCACAATCACCAAATCATGGTCATGCTCAACACGCTCATGCGCCTCCTCCTTGGGATCATCCTCATCGTCGGAGACCGTCCCATATTTTTTATTAAGATAACTCCAAATCTCATGGGCGGTTTTCATGTCAATGATCTTTTCGAACATGCTATCATCCAAAGATCTATATATGATGTCAATAGCTTGGGTGTCGAGATCTAGATATTTCTCTTATACTTGAGTTAGATTATTTTCATCCAACATATGAGAAAAGCCTACATCTACCATCCACCACATTGGAGGGCAAATAAACTTAAAATTTCAAATAATCCAATTTTTCCACCGTGCAAAGTGTGTGCCATAAAAAATACATGGACAATCAACATCTAGCCCATAAGTTGCCATCATCTTGGGTCGGTGAAGACCACAAATGAGAGACCAAGTTCTGATATCACTTGTAGGATCGAGATAGCGGACTAGAGGAGGGTGAATAGTCCTTTCTAAAATTAATCGCATCGGCTAACCAAAACAAATGTAGAATTAAAACTAACGGTCTAGCCAAGACTACACCCTTCTATCTAAGTTCTCTAGCACCTTATAAAGATACTAATTAAGCAACTAAGGTACCAGGCTAGCTAGAGCTCATCTAACTAATTCTATAAGCAAGGTCATATAAACCTATGCAACTAGTACTTCAAGCACAGAGAGAGCTCCTACACAACTATTATACAAAAGCACAAAGCCTAAGCTCACTAGTAATTCTCAATAACAAGACTACACAAGCCAAATTAAAGAGCTCAAAACACTTAGCTAAACAAACTAAGCAATGTGACTAACAAGGTTACTCGAACCAAATTAGTCACGCAAAGAAAACTACTTTTATGCTACACAAGCAAGAAGGTAACTAGCAAACTACACAAGTCAACCAACTACAACAACAACTACACAAGCACAATATATGAAAGGTAAATACAAACTTGTGTCACGAGGATGCAAACCAATGGGAAGACAAGTTAACACGGTGATTTTTATCTCGAGGTTCACGTGCTTGCCAACACGCTAGTCCCTGTTGAGACAAGCTCCAAGGTTGCCACCGGTCCTCTTGCCAGTGGTGACCCGCAAGTCACACTCTCCCGTATGGAGTGCTTACCACAAGCTCTAGCACTTGACACTGCCGGACCACTTGTCGCCCTTCGCGTCTCGCTCAACTAGAGTTGCTCTTCGCGACTCTCGTGGGGTGAGCACAACACCCTCACAAACTTCTCCGGAGCACCACACAGCCTTCCTTGCATGCTTCGATGGAGAACACGCCACCAAGCCATCTAGGAGGTGGCAACCTCCAAGAGTAACAAGCACCATCGGTTTGCAACACGAACAACTAGTACCACTCGATGCAATCTCGCAATGCAACGCACTAGAAATTGTCCACTCACACAATCGGATGATCACTATCAAACATATGTCAGTTAGAGGGCTTTCAAGCACACGTACACAAGCCACCAAGGCTCAATGGTGCTCAGCTACCAGCCCAAGACCAGCCAAGGTCACTACTTATAGCCCTAAGGGCTAAAAGAGCCGTTGCACAAAAACAAGCTTTGTGGAGGTCCGGACCCAAGCTTCGGACCCATGGTCCGGACTATCTACAGTGAAGGTCCAGACCCCCGAATCTCGTCACGTGTCCCCACATTTAACCATGCCCGTTAGATCCTAACAGTCACTAATTATCGTGTTGTGTGCGTGGAACCAGACCATGAAACCAGACTCTAGATCCGGACCAAATCCCTTCAGGGTCCAGATCAACACAGAGAGAGGTTCTAGAGAGGTAAAAACCCTCCGGACAGACCCGGTCCGGACTAAACTTCTGGACCCTCCCTCAGGGTTCGACACCGAACCCACGAGCACCACGTGTCCTGGCTCTCGTGCGCGTGCCCAAGGGAAGCCACGCCTCAAACCAGACGCTGCCTCCCGGGTCCGACGCCGTTGCCTAACAGGGTCCGAGGCTACGGTGCCGTCGGTCCGCCGCACATAGCATCGAAGCGATAGCATCGAAGCCTCCCCCAGACTCGCTACCTGATGGATCGAGCCTCGCCCTCTGCGCGCCCCTTTGCTGCCGCTGGCCCTACCGATGCCGGCCCCACCAATTGGAGTGTTGCTCGATCCAAAATTTTCCATGTTCGCCAAAACCGCTTAGGAATGGACTCCACTCCGCTTGGGAAAAAAGAAATTTCAAGAACAAGCAAAAAATGCCGCTAGGGACGTCCGCTTGATGAAGAGCTACGAGGAGCAGGAAGTCACGTCATGCGTGCGTCGGGTCCGGCCGCCAACGAACCAAAGCATGCATGCCAGACGCCGTTTGATTCATGTGATGTCGAACCCACGGAATAAATAGATCCGAACCAGCCAGCCCAGCCGATCACGCTGCAGCATGCCTGCCAGCCTGTGCTGTCGAACCCACGGGAAAGAGACGAACCCGCAAGGCCACTCTGTCGGACCCGCGAGGGGCAGGAGCGGACCCAGGACGTCACGGTCCGCTGCGCGCTCTCCCGATGCCGCTGATCTGTCGCACTATAACCGGACCCGTGCACCTGGGAGCGGACCCGCTTTGCCTCTCGGTCCGACAGCGCCACGCGCAACGAAAACGGGTCGACCGGACCCATGTGCTGGAGTCCGGAGCGGAGCAGCGCCAGGGTCCGAACCCAGCCACGCCGAGCGCCCTGCGTCCCTGCACTGCCACACCGTGACCGGACCCGGGTCCGGTGCCCTGTCCACCAGGGTCCGATCCTCTTCTCCTTCCTCCAATACTTTTTTTTCAGTATCTCAACTACACCACCCTTTATTCCAAATCGTCAACCACAAAGTGTCTCACCATAGTGCACGTGTGTTAGCGTTTTTCCAAATATTTTTCAAGGGTCAATCACTCAACTTGCCGCGTCACTGGATCATAGCAACGATGCAAAGTTAGATCACTCGAGTGGCACTAGATGACCGATATGCAAACAAGTTTGCTCCTCTTGATAGTAGGCCATCTATGCTAAACTTGGTCATAAACTTCTCTACACACCTATGACCGCCGAAATGAAATGCCCTAGATTATACCTTTGCCTTGCACATTCCATTCCATCTCCTCCGATATTGATGCAATGTATGCACCAACCATATCACCAAATGATATGATCCACTTCATATCATCACGTGACCGCATTGGTTCATCGATCTTGACTTCACTTGCTCTTCATTGTTGCTTCGTTCCATCGGCGCCAAGTCATCACCCAACTTGCCATTTACACTTGCAACCGATCCGTCAACCCAAGTCTTGTCTTGATCTTCTCCTTCTTAGTCACATGACTCCATGTCATGTCTCATATGTAATGAGCTCCTTCATCACATGTTCACTTATGGACTAATCTCATGTGCATCTCTCATAAACATATATTGGTCTACCTAGGTTGTCACTCAATTACCAAAACCAAACAAGGACTTTTCAAAAGTCCAATAATTTATACTCATTTCTTGTTTCTGATTAATCACATAATTTTGGGTCTTATAGTTAATATGGATATTCTACTTATTCTCGGCCGTTAAATCATCATAAAATCCAAATATGCATATTCTTTTCTTTTTTCTAATACTCTATTTATTCTTAGCAGTTAGATCATCTAAAACACAACAGTGCATACTCTTCTCTCTTTTTTTATTAATCTCATGATTTTGAGTCCCTCTCAACGAACATGGTGGCTTCTTTTAATACTATTGTATTAATAGATCATCTAAAACCCAATGGTGCATACTCTTCTCTCTTTTTTTTTATTAATCTCGAGATTTCTAGTCCGTCCCAGTGAACATGGTGGCTTCTTTTAATATTATTGTATTAATATAATAGATTTGAATTCAACAGGTCTTACTAGGGAAAACTCAAAAAGTCCATGATCTTCTCTTGGATGACCTTTAATTTGGTCCTCGATTTAGGTATGATAGAACTCTCCAAAGTCATCTTTAAGACTACATTGAGGGGGCATATGGCCCCTTGGTTCCGCCCTCTTTAAGACTACAATAGTGCTAGATGATTATTGAAAAACTACATATTTATGGTTCAAAGTTAATAAAAAATAATATTGTTTTGCTATTAGAGGGAGCATATGGCCCCTACCGGTCCCCTTGGTTCCACCTAGTTTAAGGCTACAATAGTGTTAGATGATTATTGAAAAACTACATATTTATGGATCAAACTTAAAGTGATTAAAAAAAGCAGGAAGAGACCTTAGCGGCTCTTGAAATAGCTTCTTCTAAACCACCTATTGAGCAAAGAGGGTCTTCAACACCTACAAGGCAAATTAAGTACAAACATTAGGACATATATTGCTCCCTATGCTTTAAATTGTAAGTCATTATAGTTTTTTTTAAGTCAAAGTTGTCTATTTTTTGACCAAGTATATAGGAAATATATCAACATCTACAATATCAAATAAATGCACTATCAAAAATATATTCATGGTGTATCTAATGAATCTCATTTGATGTTGTAGATGTTGTGCATTTTTTTATAAACTTGATAAAAGCTAGATAAGTTTGACTTAGGACAAGGTAAAATAACTTACAATTTGGAATAGAGGGAGTAAGTACTCTAAGTTATGCTACTTTTGGGGGCCAAGTGGTGCTAAATATATAATTCTCCGGCCTAATCATGAAACCCAAACATAATGCAGATTAGATGTTCCAACTTCAATTTCAAACCTCCACAAACAAGCGCTGGTACATTGAAGAAAATGAGAGGACTGTGTGTCTTATGGTTGGAAGTAGTATTGAGCAAACAAAAACATTCAACAACACATATGTTGTCACTTACCATGTAGAAGGAACAGCGGCCGTGGTGCAAGCAAAGGAAGTGAATATGGGGCATCAAATTGCGAGTCCAGATCTGGTGCTTTTTTCCCAAACCTGTTAAAATATGTAATAAACAATGTAAAAATGTTCATAAAGTACTCATCAGAAATAATGAGTCAAATAAATTAAACATTCACCATTTCAACAACTTGCGTATCTATTCGCTCTTTCCAAAATCAATTCTTGTTTCTATAAGAGCAAACAATAGAGAAAAAAAAAAAAAAATTGGCATGCAAATGTTATGAAATAATATAACAAATTCCAGCCATATAATGCTATATTATTCCAATGGCACAAGCATCAAATTAAAATCAAATAGGTGATAAAAGAGATAGTGCTATTTTGACTGGCTAGACTTACGGTAATATTTCTTTTTTTTTTTTTTTCTTTTCGTAGGGGCCTAGCACCGCCTGTTCCCAGAGAGAGAGAAAGATAAACTACTCAACTAGAGAGTTGAAACAAAAATAAAGCAAAGATTTTCTCAAGGTTTTTTTTTTTGCAAACCTATTGTAAATTGCTTGGATTTATTAGTTCAGAAAAAAGCATAGTAAATGGCTTCGATTCATTAGTTCAGAAAAAGTATTATATTTGTAACTAAATTATAAGTCACAAGCTATGATGCATTCATATTATAGCATAATACTCCCTCTGTTCTAAATTATAAGTCGCCTTAACTTTTTTTGATATATCTATTTTGCTATACATCTAGATATAAAAATATGTCTAGATATATAGCAAAATTGATGAACAAAAAAAATCAAAGCGATTTATAATTTGGAACGGAGGAGTATTATTTGTATGTTCTATATAGTAATTGGATGGTGTTTTTTTTAGGAATTGGATGGTGTTTTTGTTTTTCCATTAGAAATATTATAACTTCCTGTTGAGAGAAAACGTACCTCCGCTGGGGTTTTCACCTTTTCTCTGTACCTCCGCTGCTTTGGGCCATGCCCATGGACACAGCCCAGGTGCAGACTCCAGCCGAAGGCATGCACGAGCACGACTTGGTTCGCTGATAAGCCAGAGTGAAAAGTATTGTTCGCTTGATTTGTTGTGAGAAAAAAAATATTATTTCGCTAAAAAAATACGGCTCATAAGAGCGAACAGAGCGTTGGATTCTTCGTGACGAACACGTCTAAGGACCTAGTACGACTTTATAGAGGTCGAGCCTGTGTGCTTTGACTCGTTTTGCCCTGCAAAAATCATAGTGTCGCGTGACCCTTGAATTGAGACTTTTTTTTTCCTGTGAATCCTTGAATTGGAGACTTGGTAGCACGGACGTCCTATCCGGGGATGCTAGCGTCATACATTGCTTCCACGCACACACGTAGATCTCTTGCCCCACATTAATCCCGCTCTGGAGGCCGCGTCGGTCCGTACGTAACTCCCGCGCCTAGGTCCAACGCATGCAACTCGATCGCTCGCCCATGTCCACGCATGCACAGGGACCACTCCAAATCCGCTTCGTTTCCGCGCCTACATGCACGCAGCATCAGCACAAGCAGGCGGCACGGTGACCCACGACGCAGCAGGTAGCTGCGGTTAGTCGCTATCCGCCAACCACCGCCTCCATCGTAACATGTGCTCTCCCGATATCTACTTTGAAACATCCAAATGAAACACTTGCAACATACGTCTAACAGATGAAACATACGTGTATAGTCATAGCAACATATGCAACACCAGATCTACTTTTGCAACATCCAGATAAAACATTTGCAACATACGTTTGAAATATATGAAACAGTTGAAACATGCGCTTGGAACATTCATGTATAGCCACTGCATTCATCTTGAAACATGTGCTTGAAATATTCGTGTATAGCCATTACAACATGTGTAACACCAAGATTTACTTTTGAAATATCCCGATAAAACATTTCTAACATATGTCTGAAAATATCTAGAACACTTGAAACATAGCCTTGCAATATACGTATTTTGTCATTGCAACATATGCAACATTTCAGATCTACTTTTTGCAACATTTAGATAAATACTTAAAACAAAGGTATGAAACACTTGAAACACAACGTTCGCCACGCACCCACGGCCTACTTGGTAGTGAAGTGCGGTAGATCGATGAAGAGGACAGGGAGCGGATGGAGGCCGCCTGGCGGGGGCGCTGGAGTGGCAACGGCGAGGCCTAGCCAGCAGGGGTCCGAGGAGGGCCGCCGCCCAGAGGGGCCCCACAAGGAGCGCCGTCTCCCAGGCCACCCTCGACGCCATGGGCTGCTCTAGCACCCTCGCCACCGCCGACAGCACGTACCCCATCGGAGCTGGCCGGTCGGGCTGCGACGGGTAGGGGACGAACGCGGTAGTGTGTGGGTGAGTGGGGGAGGAGATGAGATGCGCGACGCGGCAGCGGTATGGAGCACGACCCGGGAATGGGGAGCCAAACATTGTGGGCAGGCACGCGTGTTGTGGGAGGGAGCGAGTTGCGGGGAAAGGCGGCAGCAGTGAGGCGAAGTTCAGGCACGGCGGTGATTCGAGAACAGGTACGGTCACGATGACAATTCGAGAGGAATATAAGTAGAGATTTTTTATATATATTTTTAGCAACACGAGCGACCGTGCAATTGATAGTGTAAGGTCTTTCGGGCGGACGAGGTCCACCAACGTGGGAGTGTGGATGATCAAAACCGCTGCCTCCTGCGTCACCGACCACTTGCACAATCTAGGGGATGTTTTCCTTCTAAACTTTAGTCGCTGTCCCATCAAATGTTTGGACACATGCATCGAGTATTAAATATAGATTAATTACGAAACTAAATACACATATTGAGACTGTTTTGTTAGATGAATTTTTTAAACCTAATTAGTATATGATTTGACAACGTTGACACTACAATAAACATGTGCTAATAACGGATTATGTAATTTATTTTTTATTAGTATCCGAACATCTCATACAACATTCCCATATTCCCATATGACACCTCTAAACTTTAGTCACCGGATCAAACAGATACCGTCATAGGCTACTAAAGCCGTACCAAGGAAAAGCTTCGCCGAGCTGCCCCTGACCTGTTCCGTGCTTCGTCGTCGTCTACTCTACTCGCAGCCGGAGCTCGGCCATGAATGCTCCAGCCACTGTGATCTTCACCTACTCTGACCATTGTCGTTTCCGTTGGCTCTGTTGCGTCTCAACCGTTGATGAGAAGGTATACAGAGGACATACTTTAACTAAGTGATGCTGTTGGATTAGGAGTTCCAGTCACAATCGATAAAGAGAAATTATTACAGGGGACTGTTGTGATATCATTCCATCATGAAGCATGGTAAACGATGGGCGACAATATTGCTGCATTCACGCAGGGCTCACTAGAGGAAGCGATCGAACCATTCGCTTGCTGCCTTCACCATGTCGATTGTCATTCGATGGCCGATCCCAGGCTCTGCAATGAACTGACCAGTACAGATAAAAAAATGTTAGTTGACCCAAATAGTGAAAGTCCATATTTCAGAGAGAAACTAGAGCTGTCTGTTCATCCAAACCAGTGCCCTTTATGTGATCAAGAGCAGGAGATAATTCAACATATCTTTGACAAATTGTGTCTTCTCTAGAAAAGTTTGGTATATGCTCTTACGCTCTCACCACGAGTAATATACTACTACAGCACAAGAGGCGCCACACTAGTATAAGAGTCGTCAGATATGATGATTGCTACATTCTTCAAGTGTTGAACTTGAACCTGCCATCATCCACCTAGTACGGTACTGCACGGACGCATAAACACCATAGTCCCCACAACTCAACATTCAACTGAAGCTGACTCATCTTTAAGACGGAAAACATATATGGGAGTCAGGACTACCAGTAGTAGTTCCTAAACTGCTAGCAGACCAGACCTAGCTGGCAGTCAGTGCTACTTCTCTGTCAGTCACCAGCAATAATCAGTTCTGAACCAGGCCGAGGCATTATTTCAAAGAATATTCTGGCTTGCATTCATAAGATATATGAAGATATCGAAATGCTTGATAGTTTTAGTTGAACAAGCACCGACATCCCTCCTTGTAAATGATGAGGATTATAATAATTTGCATGCATCGGCCCTCTACTGGGAGAAAACTCCCAAAGTCCATGATCTTCTCTTGGGTGACTTTTAATTTGGGCCTAGATTTAGGTATGCTACAACTCTCCAAAACTCTTATTTAAGATTATAATAGTGTTAGATCATGATTATTCAAACCAAAATTAAATCTTAATGATTCTAAATTAGTAAAAGTGATGTAAAAAAAGGTGGGAAGAGACAGTAGTATGCACGGTACCATGAACTTCTCCGCAGAACCAGATTCTTCATAAGCCTTAGCAGCTCTTGAAGTAGCTTCTTCTAAACCACCTATTGGGCAGCGACGGTCTTCAGCGCCTATGGACAAATTAAGTACAAACATCAGAAGATATACTACTCCATCCACTTCAAATTGTAAGTCATTTAGGTTTTTCCCTAAGTCAATTTTTTCTAATTTTGACCAAGTTTATAAAACAATATATCAACATCTACAATATCAAATAAGTGCACTATCAAAATATATTTCATGGCGTATCTAATGAATTTCGTTTGATGTTATAGATGTTTGTGCATATTTCTATAAACTTGGTCAAAGATAGAGAAGTTTAACTTAGGACAAAGCTAAAATGACTTGCTCCTTCCATTCCTAGTTATAAATTGTTTTTTGCTTTTATAAGTACATCGCTTTTGCTATGCACCTACATATGCACTATGTCTAGATACATAGCAAAGGCTATGTACCTAGAATTCTAGAAAAGCCAAAGCAACTTATAATTTGGAATGGAGGGAGTATGTATTAACTACTGAGTTATGCTAGTTTTGGGGGCCAAGCGCTAAATATAGTTCTCTGGCCCAATCATGAAACCCAAACATAATGCAGATCGATGAGATGTTCCAACTTTCAACCCTCACACAAACAGGTGGTGACACATGGAAGAAAGGTGAGGACTGTCTTAATAGTTATGGAAGTAGTATTGGCCAAACAAAAACATACAGCAACAAATATGTTGGCACTTACCATTTAGAAGGAGCAGCGGCCGTGGTTCAAGCAAAGGAAGTGAATAGGGGGCATCAAATTGCGAGTCCAGACCTGGTGCTATCTTTTCCCAAACCTAGTAAAATATGTAAAACAATGGTAAAAATGTTCATAAATGACTCATCAGAAATAACGAGTCAAATAAACTAAACACTCACCTTTTCAACAACTTGTGTATCTATTTCACTCTTTCCTAAGTCAATTCTTGCTTCTACAGGAGCAAATAACAGAAAAAACAAAATAAACAATCACATGCAAATGTTTTGAAATAAATATAACAAATTTCCGCCATAATGCTACATTTTGTGAACTGTAAGCCCCCACTATAAAATTTTATTATAACCAAAGAAACAACTGTACAAAACAAAAGGAAAAAAAGGAGAGCATTATGACTAGCTACATTATTCCAATGGCACAAGCATCAACGCTCAAATAGGTGATACAAAGAGAGTGCATTCCTGCTTTTTTTTATCTCGCATTCCTGCTATTTTGACTGGCTAGACTTGCTGTAATATATTGCTTTTCCTTTTCCTTTTTCTCCTTCCTTTCACAAAGTTATGCTATTTTATTTACATTAATCAGTAGGTGCCTTGCACCTCCTGTTCCCTTAAAAAAAGAGAGACATAGCGGATAGAATCCAACCTTCAAATAAAGGTTTTATGCTATTCACCCTAGCTTGCCACTTGTTGTTATCAATGGCCCACCGAAATCCCTAGCCATAGAAAGGATAGAGCTTTATACAGAGGAAATCATAAAATTATGTGCAGTACTTATACCTATAAATTTATACACAATAGTTGTATTTGAACCTGAACACCGATTATAGGAACAATGACACTATACCGTGTGTCCACAAAAGCAGCAAACCATGCGTGCATTCCTGTATGCTGCTAAGGTTAGTTAATGAAGTTAATAATATTATTCAATATAAAGTTGACATCATGATCTGCAATACCTCCAAGCGATTCACCAGTAATCCCAATCCTACAGGGATCGATGTCCTCCCTCTCACTAAGGTGGTCTCCAAGCTTTATCAAGTCCCACACCTGCAGATGTCCAAATTTGGTTAAGATTCCTCTTCGTAAAAAATTCTTATCAAAATAAAAAGAACTATAACATTTTAAAAAGTATGATATAAGTGTTTGTAAGGCACGATACAGTTATGTTACGAGAACCAGGACAAAAGAACAATTCCAGAATTACAAAAATCCAGAATCAAACTAACAAGTTCATAAGGCATGATACAGCCATGTTGACTTAAGGGCCCAGAGATGGCCTAGAGATTAGCTTTAAGAGCTGCTTTAAATATAGTACCGTGTCAAAAATAAAAGGCATTGTATCCCCATTCCGCCAAGCCGATTTCAGTGCCTGATTTTAAAAGTAAAAGTAGCAGGGTCAAGCCGAGAAATAAATGGATATCACTGTCAAATTTAGTGGGCACAATATGATGTAAGATGGGCCCATGATAAGTAGGTTACATCTATATAAGTGGTTTCATTGCTGGCCCTTTCACCATGATAGCGAGAGTCAATAGCAACACAAATGTAACCCCTGGAGGCATATCCCTGCAAAAGCAAACTGATCAACTAAAAGATAAAGTTAATACATTGTATAGGGGTATGCACTTCTTACCAGAGTTCGAAAGAGGTTATTTTACCTCAAGCAGAGGGCGCAGCCATTCTTTGCATTTGTAAGAGCTGTGCAAGAATACAATAGCTGGTTTTCTTTTAGGGACAGGGTCATTAAGTTTCAGCAGAAGTACAGGTACTCGTCCTTGTTCACCTAGCTGTTTGGAAAAAGTAATAACAATTTCTGGTTAGGAAAAGAGAAGGAAAATAAAAAATAATAGTGATGCGTTGATTCTACAGATTAGTGCAGGAATGCATGTGAGTCTGGATCTGAGAACCTCAAAAAAGATACCAACTATCAAGGTATGCCCAAGTATTCAAGAGAGGGGTGAGGAGAACAGGAACTTGTGTGCTTGTGTGTAAGTGCCTTGTGACCCCCATGTGCAGTAAGTGTGCACTATTTATCTATTATTGCTCTTCTCCTGCCTCTTAAGGCTGCTTCGATGTGATTGGTCCCTGTAGGCTGTAGTTGACAAGTTTCTATCTCAAGCAAGCAAACTGACGTTTGATATTCGCTCGCAAAGAAATTAGGACTGTTGGACTAATCTGGCCGCTTACCTCAGTGATTAAGTAGAAATTTTCTTCAACCAGCTTCTCCTTGAAGTTCTCCACTTCTTTACTGGGGCACGACTTCATCGGATTTGCCTGAAGTATCCCAGAGATACAACAGGCAATCAACGGGGGCATGTCGGTCTCACAAAACATCTTCGTTGAAATCAAGGATCCTGACCTCATTGGGCGACAGAGGCTTTTGGTACAACGGGTTCTTCACTGGACTCCCTTTCTCCACCGAGAGAGGCACTGACGAAAATCAACCCAATCGAAGGCACAAGTTTCAGATATGGCATATCGTTTGAAGAATTCAGTGTGTAGCATGAACTGTGGTTAATTGACTGTTAAGCTTATGCTTGCTGCATCTCAAAAGGTCACACTTTACTCGCTAATTGCTTCCAAGAATCACTTCAATCGCTAATAAGATCCTACCCAGATCAGCGATGTTTAACCGAGCTGCTTAAAGCACTACCAAAGTGTAGTTTGATTCTGAACATTCAAATTCCATCCCCAGCAGAGCGCGCGCGCGAGTTGGGCGGGAGAGAGCCTGACCTTGGAGATCGCGGCGGCGGCTGAGCAGGACCTGGAGGAACTCCGACCTGAGCCCCGCGCCGGCGTCGGCGGCGCTGGCGGCCATTTCTCTCCCCGGAAACGCAGCGCCCGCGGCTGCTGTGGTGGCGTCACGGCTGCTGGGAGTGGGACTGGGTAGTCTGGGCTTGTTGTACTTGGAGCGGGGCCCCTGCTGCATATTCAAGTACCCGCCCCGCTCCCTCCCCGAGACGGGCACGTGCGCGAGGTCATCGACGGAGCCCGCGAGGAGGCGGCCCGGACGCCACATGGCAGCCAGCGCGAGTGCGGCGGCGAGCGTGGGCGCTATGATGGCCCTCCTCGGGAGCATCGGCTGTGCCTGTGCGAGCCGCGCCGCGGTGGGGAGTGGTATCGGATAAGGTATGCGGACGGTGCTCACGGCTCGCCGGAGCGTCGCCATCGGAGCAGCGTGGCGTCGCGTGTGGAGTGGAGCGCGTGCCGTACTGCGATGTGATGTGCACCTCGGACTCCGACGTGGCGTTGCTGCTGGGTTACGTGTACGGTGTACCTGTAGCTGCAGCCTGCAAGGCGTCAAGGACTCCTGTGGCTTTGGCTGCTAGCGCCTACGCTGTCTCGATCTGTCCACGCCAGTCCCCAATAACAAACACAACACTCATCAATCGTCAAGACAAAGAGAAACAAACAAAGTTGCTGACAAGCCGGAAGGAGACTAGACAAACAAGCATGAGGCCCTCACAGTGTGGAGGCGATGCCAAAAAATGAATGGGTCCCACGGTGTACGGTGAGCAAATGGGCATCGGTTTGTGGAGCTGCAACGTTGAAAAAAGTTGGAACCGAAGCCATCAGTACACGTGAGGACCGCAAGAAATAAAATAAACTTCATCTTCTCAAACTTAGAGCAAGTATAATGGCCCAGTTCATTTGGTGAACTTTAATGAAACTCACCAAATTGTTGTGAGAGAAAAAACAAAAGCGAAGGAAATTTAAGAAATGAGAGGCAAAAAGCGAAACTAAAGAAGGAGAAAGATGTGAAGAAATGGACTGTAAGTTTATAGTCGGCTTGAACACAAGAATAAAAAAAATTATGAGAGAAACAAGTGGATCATATATTAATAGTGATGAGCTAACTACGCTGTAAAGAGACCTTACCACCAGCCCCGCCTATATTATTATCCTTGCTCTTATGCTTCAAGCGGCAAGACTAGCGTCTGGTTTGGAGAACTAAAATAGTTTTTTTTAATGATTTGGCACCGGAGCCTCTACGAGCCTGTTTGGAACGGTGGGATGCAAAACAGGAACGAGAGAAAACACAGGAATGTGAAAGGAATAGAGGTGTAAAACAGAGGATTGGAAAACACAGAAATTTTATAGAAACGAGTGTTTAGAACACAGGAATACTAATAGCATGAAAGTTTATTGGTTTGTGCTAAACACAGATGTTTAGATTAAATAGGATCTAATTAGTGTGCATGCATGCAGGAGGGAGTATGCAGATTAGTGCGTGTGAGAGTGCATGAGCCGCAGGAAATATTCCTATGAGGTCAGACTTCATGTTTTCTTTCCTCCAAAACTATAGGTTTTATTGCCTTTCCTCTGAAACGGTTTGGGTCTCTTCCTTTGTTCCAACACTGCTACAGTGAAAATCCTATGGGAACTTGATTCCTCTGATCTTCCTATGTTTTTCCTATGCAAACAAGCCCTACATGTTTCGCTCTTGGTTTTTCTGGCACCACTCTGAATTATAGCATCACTTGCTGCAGTGGCTGAAGTGATGCCTCGATCTTCTCACTCCTCTTAAAGCACGAAGTGGAGTGGGCCTCGTCTGGAATTAGTAAAGTCCGTCATGAAAGATGGCTCCGGCGCTCAGGTAGATACTGCTAACGAGGCTCCTCGATCACTATTAGTAGGTGATCAGTCCATCCTTCACGCGTTTGAAAATTTCCAAAGGATTCGAGTGGATGTTTCGTTTCCCTCATTTTGTGTAGGAATCGAAGCCTTTCTAGAGAAACGGGACGGCTGGCTCCTACGATCCAAATGCAGGTGACGCAAGTAAAACGGAGGAATCTTGTTTCTTTAAAAATTCTATGGAAAACTCCAATTCAAATAGGCCCTTAACATGATATGGTTAGCTAGCTGTAGCGTATGACATGATTTTCTTGGGGCCATAAATGAAACACTTGTTTTTCTGGCTTGCTCATTCTTTTTTTATTGGGTACAACTTGGATGCGCATAACACACTCTCTACACTCACACCATATGTACACACGCGTGCGCGTCCCTACACACGTAAAGAAAGAGATTGGGAGGCGACATCGTCTCCAATGCGCGGGAAACACGTAGTACCACCGAATGCGCACGCGTGCGTGTACCCTGAAATTTCTGAAAATTTTCAGAAAAAAGTGTGATCACCAGAATTTAAACCCTAATGGATAGAGTCGTGCTGTACCACTGACCACGTACCCATTCGCTATGGCTTGCTCATTCTGCCACTCGTAAATGCTCCACCGACCCCTAGTGTGATGGTGTCGAATTCAGCTCGAACACATAAAGTTCGACCGCAATAGTGTGTATTGTTCGATTAGAACGACTCACAGATCTATTTGAAAACACACCGGAGCTGCTCTAACAAAAAAAACGATGAAGTTAATGACCATTCGCTCAAAACTTCAAGCATGTTTGGAATATTTTTTTTTCTATAAGATTGAATTGATTTTCTATAAATTTTCTACGTGGTTTTATGTGAAATTTCTGCATTTCAAATAGTTAAAGAGAAACAATCAGTCTAGGAAAAAGGAGAAGATGAAAACAAGTTCAATCTGCAGTGACAACTTTACGATTCCCATGCATAAAGTCATGTTCTAGAAAAGTGGATTAGTATTTAGGTAAAAGAGTTAAATTCATATTCTTCAACCCATCAAATAAAAAGAAGTTGTCTATCCAACACTCGTGTGTTTTACCAATGCTGATCATCTATTTTTTTTTCTTTGTACCTTCTTTCTCCTCCAAATGCACCACCACCGCCCAATGCCCACTACTCCGCCGCGGCGAGGTCGGGTCTCGTCAGAGCTCCACGGCCACGCCTCTCCTTCTTCCCCTCCCCTCTCTTGCTGCTGCCATGGCCATGGGCGCCTCTGCCTCAACGTGGTCCGGCCACCTCCTCAACCGTCGGAACCATAATGCTGTCCTTCCACTGTCCCCACCGTCTGACATGCCTCCCTCGAGCCTCTTCTAAGGCCAACGAATTTGGAAAATAGAAGATAAGGAGAGGCAAGAGATGAAAAAGAAAAAATTCTGATCGTTGGATATTATCTCTAAAGCACTCGATTATTCTATAGCATTTCTTAATAAAAGAATAATATAAAAGTCAAATTCTTCCTCAACCGCAGCGAGCCACGAGCCCACGACTCCAGGAGGCGCTCGTGGCAGTGGCACTGTGAAGGCCAGGGCGGGGTCCACCTTCAACCAGGGTGTCCTACTTGGCAGAGAGACGGAAACCAAACCGCTGCACAGAGGAGAGAGATTCTCGTCAAGTCGTCGACTCGTAGTCGCCGCCGCCGCCACCCGCCACGCACTACCACAAGCCACGGGCGAGGACCAAATGCGCTCGCAGTCGCCGTAGCGCCACCGCATCACCCATCCGTTGGGGCCTTGTGGGTGTCACGCGATGGAGGCGGACGAGCCGGCGGAGGAGGCGCGGCGCGCAAAGGAGGCCCGGCGCCACGGCGCGCTCCTCGACCCCAGAGACATCTCCTTCCTCACCAACCGCGCCGCCGCCTACCTCCACATGGGCAAGGTCTCTCTCGCGCAACCGCACCCCCAAGGCCCCAACCCCCTCTATTCTATACCCTCGCTGGCGACGCGGTGTCTGATGCTTAGGACATCTCCAGTATAACGAGGTCGTGAGGGACTGCGACGAGGCGGTGAAGCGCGGCAGGGAGCTCAGCACCGACAACAAATTGATTGCGAAGGCCCTGACGAGGAAGGCGGCGGCGCTGATCAAGCTCGCGGATTGCGCCAGGGACTACGCGCCGGCAATTAGGGCCCTGCGGCAGTCGCTGGACGAACACCACAGCGAGGAGACGCTCGAGAAGCTCAACAAGGCGGAGAGTGCGAGGAATGAGCTAGAGGCGCAGGAGCAACTGCATGAGGCTGCCGACCACCATCGTGAGAGAGGTTTGCGTGTTGCTCGATTATGGCATTGTTTAATATGGGTATGGGAAATGGTTCCCATGTGACTGAAGACCATCATTAAAGAAAGGGATGAGTAGATACTGCTTCTAGCAACCTATGTTTTAGCATCATATATTTGATTGTGATATACATATAATACAAGGATACAACTGCTTAGTGCTCACAAACCCTGCAGGCAATGAATTGTTCAAGCAGAAGAAGTACCATGAAGCAGCAGTACACTACACTCAAGCTATGAAAATGAACCCAAAGGATCCTAGAGTAAGCATTTTTGGCTATTCCCCAGTTTTTCCTTCTCAAATAAATAGAACTAGATATTCTTGATAAAGTCATACTCATACCTCTTTTGAAATTAGAGTGATTTCTTATAAACTAAATTTGCATCAGTAAATATGCCGTCTATGATCAGGCACATTTGACATGCTTATTCATTCTAAAGTCATGTTCTAGGGCTTCCTCTTTCTTCCTTGGCGCACTTAGCAATGGTATTTTTTTGGAAAGATCTTGGCAATGGTAATTTGTTATTTTGTTTTGATGTATATGACTGATGTTTCAGGTTTTTAGCAACAGAGCTCAATGCTACATCTATCTGGGAGCTTTACCTCAAGGCCTCGAGGATGCAGAGAAATGCATCGAACTGGATCCTACTTTTCTGAAGGGTTATGTGTGCAAAGCTAAAGTTCAGTTCCTGATGGAAGATTATGAAAATGCTATGGCAACTTACCAAGAGGGTTTGAGGTGTGACCCAAATAACCTGGAAGTACTTGATGGCTTAAGGAGGTAGTTTTCCAGCTCTCTTTTAGTCCTCTGGACATGATTATTTGAACTGACATTTTGTTTGTTGTTCTAGATGTGAAACATACATTAAGAGGGGTCATGGGGGCGCTGGTCGTGAGTTCTTTAAACAGATGTTGGTAAGTCTAATTTCTTTGAAAGAGTATTAACGATTACTTGGTTTTGTTTTGATTCTTGCAAAATTAGCATGCCTTCTTTGTATACTTTAATGTGACCTGTACTCTTTAGTGCAACAAATGGTACTTAACACAGAACTGTACCTTGACTATTAAGGTGCTTATCTGTAATTAATCTTAAGAAGTAGCACTTAAAAACTGTGAACAGGCTATATGGGGATTGTGAAACATAGTCAATGAACACCTAACTAATTATGAAATCGGGAATACCATCAACCCAATTTAGCCAAAACTTGGTTAAATAAACTTGGTATGTTATGAGGTCCAGACTCCAGTAAAATTTTAACTGGTCTGGTAGAGCTCAAGTCCTGTGCAGTTAGTAGTTTAGATTTGTGGTTTCATGCCCTGTGACCCTGTCTAGATTTCTTCACTGTGCGTTGACTCCATGTGGAATTTATATGCTAACAAAGTGCAGCTAAGGGGTATTTAGAGGGTACATTCACTTATGGAATTGATCCTTAGTTTTTTTTTTGAAAGAAAGGAATTAATCCTTAGTTTCTCTTGTGTTTTTGCATGGGTTGAAGGATGGGGGAAGGGTTCTATGGGATGTTATTCTAAATGAATATTTATCCAGTATCCTTTCAGGGAGGTTTTCATCCAGAAGACAATTTGCGTGATATACAAAAGGCATTTTCTACAATCTCATCCATGCAGGAAGCTTCTGAAGAGCCCTTGGGGCATACCAAATCTGAACGGATGGTAAATATGTAACTGAACTGAACTATTGTCATCTAAATAATTTACTGAAGCACCAAGTTAAATTATCTTGATTGGAGGCCCAACATCACAATCCAATCATTTTTTTTCCTAATAGTTTCATCCTGTTAAAAACACAGACTTCTCTGAACCTTGCTGACAATTGCTAGGGCTATGGCGGACTGGCAGTCATATGAAAGCCTTTCCCATTTTCATGATAGTACACAATTTTTCCCGTTCATAAACTATCCAAAATGAATACTTTTTTAATGGTTCTTCCAGAGAGAATTTTGTACAGAAGATGGTTTGGATAGATTCCAAAATGCAATGGAACAATTTGCAATATTCAAGAAGGAAGCTTCTGAAGAGCGCTTGAGGCGTACTGAATCTGAACGAATGGTAAATCCGTAACAAAATTTGCTGAAGTCTTGTCTATAAAATTTATTGTGGCCAAAATAAATTATCTGATCAGTGGCTGACATCTCATTTAATCATTTCTTTCTCAATAGTTGGATCATATCAAGTACAGAATATATTTACAGTGGGGGCCTCCCCTGCTGTATTTAATATTCAAAAAAAGTACAGAACAGATTCTCTTATATTGTTGCTACTGCTGCTCCAAGAAATGGGCCATCTTGCAACAGACCACTGCCACTATGTTTACTGTTGACTTGCCAAGGCCATGGCAGCCATACGAAAATTTCATTCTTATTCATGATTTTTTTTCTTTTAAAAAATCTAGGATGTCAGCAGGTTACTCTTTTAACAAAATTTTAGGCTATTACATTACATACAGTCAAAAGTAATCTATCAGGATGCTATGAATGAGAATGGTCACGTTTTTAATTTCTCAGGCTAGGACAATGGAGGGCTTGTATTTAAACCAGGTCCAACAAAGGAAAGAAACTGAGGAATTTCTTTCAAGGATACAACAGGAGTTGGAATGCTTTAAAATACAACATGATGAGGTCACTAAAAAGCTTCAGAAGGCCAATGAGCATAATGAGCGTCTACAACGTCAGCTCTCTGAATCCAGAGGACAGTATGACTGGCTTCTATCAGAGCATGATCACTTGCTACATGATAGGGATCGTGCAGTTCGTGAGGTTGAAGAGTTACGCCAGAAAAGAGGGCAGATGCTTTTGGATTTGGTTACATCAATGTACTTAGAATTTTCACCATCTGAACTGGAGTTTGCAAGTAAAAATTTCAGCAGTTCACTGATGATTGGAGAAGGTGCATTCGGATGTGTATACAGAGGTGTCCTCAGAAACATGACAGTTGCAATAAAGGTGTTGAAACCTGATACTTTGCAGGGAAGATCACAGTTCGAGCAAGAGGTAATTTACCCACTTCATCCTGAAATCTTACTTTGCCCTTCTTACACGGGAAAAGTGGAGTTGATCTCTAGCTCCTTTCTGGTTCAAAACTGAAACTAGATAGAACATTTACTTTTGAAGGACATCCTCATTCCATGAATGATGAATAGATTATTTTGGATTTCTGTTGCAGGTTGCTATCCTGAGTAGGGTGAGGCACCCTCACCTTGTAACTCTATTAGGAGCATGCTCAGAATCATCTGCACTTGTCTATGAGTTCTTGCCAAATGGAAGTCTTGAAGATTTTCTCGTCTGTGCAGATAAAAGGCAAACTTTGCTGTGGCAGATCCGCATCCGAATTATTTCTGAGATATGTTCAGCACTCATCTTTCTGCACACGAATAAGCCACACCCAGTTGTTCATGGTGATCTGAAGCCAGCCAACATCCTTCTTGATGTTAACTTAGTCAGTAAGCTTAGTGACTTTGGTATCTCTCGCCTCCTAATCCAGTCCAGCACCAATAACACTACCCTTTATCGCACCATGCATCCAATGGGAACCCCCTTGTACATGGACCCAGAATTTTTTGCCACTGGAGAGCTGACATGTCAGTCCGATGTGTATTCTTTTGGGATTGTGGTCTTGCGCCTTTTGACAGGGAAACCTCCTGTTGGTATAAAGAAGACTGTGGAGGATGCGATGATGAAAGGTGATCTGAACTCAGTAGTTGATTCCTCAGCAGGAGAGTGGCCTGATGTGCAAGTCCAACAGTTAGCACACCTTGCTCTTAGTTGCACGGAGCTGAGCCGGAGGTGCCGTCCTGATCTCTTGGGCGATGTGTGGAGAGTGGTTTTGGCCATGAGGGATGCTGCGTCTGTGACTATACCTTCTGCCTCATCATCTAGATCAATGTCTGATAAAAACCGCACTCCATCGTATTTCATCTGCCCTATATCTCAGGTGAGCATAACAGGGATTTATTAGGCCTTCATTGAATATTTAAACTGAATGTGTCATCTGTTTGTCTTTGGAAAAAAGCAGTGCATGAATATAGGCTTTATCTAATGACTAACCAGTACTTGTGTGGTCTTATTTTAGGATGTCATGAGCGATCCACATATCGCGGCTGATGGATTCACCTATGAAGCCGAAGCCATCAGGATCTGGCTCGACAGTGGCCACGACACATCTCCAATGACCAACATGCGACTAGAACACGACGAGCTCATTCCCAATCGCGCTCTTCGTTCTGCCATCCAGGAATGGCTGCAGCAGCAGAATACGGCCTTGTAGTCTGTTGTTCCCTGTTGGATCGCAGCGTGCTTCTCCACCACAGGTATCAGTAGGGTGCCTCTCTACCAAAGAGTGTTGGTCCCAGACACTAGTCGAATTATACTCTACAATTAGTTGCTCATCGACTGCTGGTGCCCGTACAGCTTCAGGATTTAACTAGCTATAACTGTGTAGTTAACATACTGATGCGGTGATGCTTGCCAAAGCCTTCATGCCCTGTTTAGTGTTTACCAAGCGTAGAAGATAAAATAGCAGCGTCTTTCCTAAGACTGTAGCTGCAATTCAGGTACAGACTGAAGAAGGTCATTTACCTTACTTGATTCCTCTCTCCAGCGTGTGCCTGCTAGTCTGCTACTGCCCCTACGATCCCGGCGCAGTTTCTCCGACTTTGTTGAGGCAAAGTGGCTTAAGGAACAGTAATTTGTCTCTCTAAACAGTTACCTGACTTCGAAAAATGTAGTAATATTAGCATAAAATCTGATTCATCCATCTGCGAACGAACAGCCTAAAAATTTATCCAAAGACACAAAGACATTCTTTCCCTGACTTTTCTTTAGCGAGTCAGAGAATCCACAACGTCTATTAGTATAATGTTTTTCTCTCACAATAAATCAGCGAACGGTACTTTTCAGTCTGGCTTTTCAGCGAAATTAAAGGTCATTTGGGCGGTTTGAGGCCTTGCCGGACTCTTGGTCTTGGCACCGTTGTCCGAATGTCCGGTGCTATGAGGGAACGGTAACTTTTCAGCGAAACGAACAGTTTGAGGTCTTGCCGGACTCTTCTCTTGCACCGTTGTCCGAATGTCCAGTGCTATGACCTATGAGGAGAGGCATGTAGACAAGCACACAATTTTTTTCAAGGACATGTGCTCTCCCACTGTACACACTGACATACGGAGTACGTCGTAAGGCCTTCAGAATAAAGTCAAGCTACTGATCCTAGCTGGCTCAAGTGGATTATGTTGAAAAAGTCAAATTCTTATCCTTTAAAAGATTTTTTTTAAAAATCAAATTCTTCCTCAACTGCACTCGTGGGTTCGTGGCAGTGGCAGACTGGCAGCGCACTATAAGGCGGGGCCCACCTTCAATCCTGGTGTCCTACTTGGGCACTTGGCAGAGACGGAAACCAAAGCGCTGCACAAGACACAAAGGAGTGAGAGATGCTCCCCTGCACCGGCCGAACTCTCGTCAAGTCGTCCCCCCATAGTCGCCACCACCGGCAGCCGCAAGCCCGCCATCCGCCACCCCAAGCCGCGGCCCGCGGGCGAAGACCAAATGCGCTCGCAGTCGCCGTAGCGCCACCGCATCGGCCATCCGTTGGGGAGTCAGTCACGCCATGGAGGCGGACGAGCGGGCGGAGGAGGCGCGGTGCGCCAAGGAGGCCGGCAACGACGCCTACCGCAAGTCCTTCCTCGAGACGGCCGTCGAGCACTACACCCGCGGCGCGCTCCTCGACCCCAGAGACATCTCCTTCCTTACTAACCGCGCCGCCGCCTACCTCCGCTCGCAAGTGACGCGGCGGCTGACGATTTGGGGCATTTTCAGTATAAGGAGTGCGCGAGGGACTGCGACGAGGCGGTGAAGCGCGGCAGGGACCTCAGCGCCGACAACAAGCTGGTCGCGAAGGCGCTGTCCCGGAAGGCGTCGGCGCTGCTCGAGCTCGCGGCCTGCTCCGGATATTACGCACCGGCGATCAGGGCCCTGGAGCAGTCGCTCACCGAGCATTACAGTGAGGAGACGCACGAGAAGCTCAACAAGGCGAGGAGACGCACGAGAAGCTCAACAAGGCGGTGGTAGTTAAGAAGGAGCTTGAGGAGCAGGAGCGATTGGATCAGGAGATGGCCGACCAACACCGCGAGAAAGGTTTGGGTGTTGCTCGGTTAAGTCATTGTTGAGTAGGGAAATGTGCAATTAGATAAGGAATTAGATAATGTTGGTGGACTGCATTTGTTTATCAATCACAAAGGAAACACAGATTTTGGGGCGACAATACTCTCAGAAAGTTCCATTTACTTTTGTGTGGATTAGGCCTAGAACTTTGCTACTCTGCTGGTTACCACTTCCCATGTGAATGAAGGACAGAGCACAAAAGAAATGGACGAGTAGATGCTTCTCCTAGTAATCTGTGTTTTTTATCATTAGATATCCAATTCCTTTATAGTTATATGCCATTGCGATGTACCCCTGCTTACTGTGTACAAACGCTGCAAGCAATGAATTGTTCAAGCAGAAGCAATACCATGACGCAGCAATACACTACACACGAGCTACGAAAACGAACCCAAAGGATCCAAAAGTAAGCATATTTATCATTCCCCTGATTTTCCTTCTCAAGAAACGGTAACTCCAGATCCTTAGTAAAGTAGTACTTTTTCTGAGATTAGAAACTTTTCTGATAAATTAGATTTACATCGGTAAAAACTACAATGTCATCTATAATCAGTCATATTTGGCATGCATTGTTCACTGTAAAGGCATGTTCTGGAGCTGGCCCCTTTTTCTTTGGCACTCCTGGTTGTAGCAATTAATTTTGTTATTTATGACTGATTTTTCAGGCATTTAGCAACAGAGCTCAATGCCACATCTATCTGGGAGCTTACCCTCAAGGTCTTGAGGATGCACAGAAATGTGTTGAACTGGATCCAACTTTTCTAAAGGGCTATGTGCGTAAAGCTAAAGTTCAGTTCCTGATGGAAAATTATGAAAATGCTATGGCAACTTACCTAGAGGGTTTGAGGTGTGACCCAAATAATCTGGAGGTTCTTGATGGCTTAAGAAGGTAGCTTTGCAGTTCTCTTCTGCCCTTCTTGAATTATGATACATGACATAATCTAAATTGATATCGTGTTTGGTTGAATTAGATGTGCAGCATGCATTAAGAGGGCTAATGGGGGTGATGTTGAGCTTGAGGACTTGAAAGAGATGTTGGCAAGTCTAGTTCCTCTCTTCGGAAGAGTCTTCCATTTCCATGATTGCTTGTTTTGTATTATTCTTGCGTACTACATGTCTTTTTTGTCTGGTTTACTGTGGCTAGTAATCCTTAGTGCAACACATGTTGACTGTTGAGTAACACAGAAACTGTACTTTTACTAGCAACGTGCAACTTAAGAAGGAGCACTTAAAACCCAGGTTCTATTGGGATCATAAAACAGTACCTTGTCACTTGTATTTTCACACACCCACTTCCATCCACATACTTTCTTCTATTTATCTGTTTCTGATCTGCTCGAGCTTATGTATAACTGATGCACAAATGGTGGTTGCATGGCAATGTGTTTTAATGCACAATTGGTTCTTTTATGCCCTTACCTTGACTCCACCATGCCCTAAGCTCAAGTAGGTCTACAAAGAGTAGTCGAGGGGCAACATTCACTTATGGAGTTAAAGTGAAAGCTACTTTTAGGAAGGGTTCAATTTTCCTATTAAATAGCACTATACTAAATGATAGTATTTTAATGGTCCTTTCAGGGAAATTTCCAATCAGAAAATGACCTGCTTAAATTTCGAAAAGCAACAGAACAAGCTACAATACTCAAGAAGGAAGCTTCTGACAAGCGTTTGAAGTGTATTGAATCAGAAAGAATGGTAAACTTATAGCTATGATTCACTTGAAACTATAATCATTGTAATTATTTTTGTGGCTAAAAGTTATACTCTGGATTAGAAGCTAAATATCACCATGCATTCATTTATTTTCCTGAAGGGCGGGCCTGGTGCAAGCGTTAGTCTTACCGCCTGTGACCGGAAGGTCCCGGGTTCGAGTCGCGGTCTCCTCGCATTGCACAGGCGAGGGTAAGGCTTGCCACTAACACCCTTCCCCAGATCCCGCACAGAGCGGGAGCTCTCTGCACTGGGCACGTCCTTTTTTTATTCATTTATTTTCCCAATAGTATTATCATGTAGAGTGTGTGTGTGTGTTTGTTTTTTTGCAGTAGTGCTAGTGCTGTATGATGGCTGGCGGCTGGATTTAGTACTCTATATAAATGCAATGATATGTAGCTATCCTGCAATACTCGAGAAAAAAAAAATCTCTCATGTGGAGTAGAGAACAAAGATATTCTATTACGACTTACGGTGCTCTTTCTCCAAGCATTGGGCAAGCTTGGAACAGAGCACTGCCACTGTATTTGCAGTTGAATTGCTATGACAGTCTTATGAATATATTTTTATCCAAAAAAAGACATATTAGCAGGTTATCTTGACAAAGTTTGTTGGCTGTTGATGTTATTGAAGCTATAGATTATCTTATCTTAATAATATGAATGACTGACCATTTTTAAAAAAATAATAATAATCTGCAGGCTAGAACAATGGAGGAATATCTTTCTGGAGTACAGCAAGAGTCGGAACGACTTAAGAAACAATATGATGAGGTAATGGAGAAACTTCTGAAGGCAAACATGGATAATGAGCATCTGCAAGGTCAGCTCTCTGAATCCAGAGGACAATATGAACGGATTCTATCAGAGCATGATTGCTTGCTACACGAGAGGAATCATGCTGTCCGTGAGGTTCAAGAGTTACGTCAGAAAAGAGGCCAGATGCTTTCAGTGTTGGTTACAGCAATGCACTGTGAGTTTTCATCATCTGAACTGGAGCATGCTACTGACAATTTCAGTAGTTCACTTAAGATTGGAGAAGGTGGGTTTGGCTGTGTGTACAAAGGTACCCTCCGGAACATGACGGTTGCAATAAAGGTGTTGAAACCTGATGGTTTACAGGGGCAATCACAGTTTGAGCAAGAGGTAGGCCAACTCGACCCATTCTGAAATCCCATTTTATCTTTGTCAACTAAAAAGGTGCTTGGTCTGTAGCTCCTTTGAAGCTTGCAGCTGAAACTAAAAAAATCTTTGAAAAGACATTTGCCCATTAATGAAATGATGTATGGCTTTTTTTGGATTCCTGCTGCAGGTTATCCTGAGTAGAGTGAGGCATCCTCACCTTGTAACCCTGTTAGGAGCTTGCTCGGAGATATCTACACTTGTATATGAGTTCTTACCAAATGGAAGCCTTGAAGATTTTCTCATGTGTGCAGAAAAAAGGCAGACTCTACCGTGGCAAATTCGCATCCGGATAATTTCTGAGATCTGTTCAGCACTGACCTTTCTGCACAAGAATAAACCGCACCCAGTTGTTCATGGAGATCTGAAGCCTGCCAACATCCTTCTTGATGTTAATTTGGTCAGTAAGCTTAGTGACTTCGGTATCTCTCGCCACCTGATCCAGTCCAGCAGCAACAACACTACCATGTATCGCACCATGCATCCTATGGGAACCCTTCAGTACATGGACCCAGAATTTTTTGCCACTGGAGAGCTGACATGTCAGTCCGATATCTATTCTTTTGGGATTGTGGTCTTGCGCCTTTTGACTGGAAAGGTGACCTGAACTCTGTAGTTGATACCTCGGCAGGAGAGTGGCCTGCTGTGCACGTCCAGCAGTTAGCACTCCTTGCTCTCAGTTGCACAGAGCTGAGCAGGAAGCGCCGTCCTGATCTTTCAGCCGTGGTTTGGGCAGTGGTTGAGGCGATGAGGGATGCTGCAACAATACCTTCAGTCTCATCTTCTAGATCAGTGTCAGATGAAAACAGCACGCCGTCATATTTCATTTGCCCTATATCTCAGGTGAGTACACCAGGGACGTTTTGCACCTTCATCTAGATTTCCCCAGTTTTTTTACTCAATGATGAATCAGTGGTAGAACAGAAGTATTATCGAATATTAAACTCAATGTGTCATATGCTTTTTGTTCTTTTGTGGAAATACAAGGAACACATGAACACTTTGTCCCCTGATGCCTAACCATTACTTCTGTTGTCTTGTACCAGGATGTCATGGACGATCCACATATCGCAGCTGACGGATTCACCTACGAAGCTGAGGCCATCAGGAGCTGGCTCAACAGTGGCCACGACACATCTCCAATGACCAACATGCGACTAGAACACGACGAGCTCATTCCCAATCGCGCGCTTCGCTCTGCCATCCAGGAATGGCTCCAGCAGCAGAATACGGCCTTCTAGTCTGTTCTCTGTTGGATTGCTGCGTGCTTCTCCACCACCACCTCAAGTACCAGTACTGTGTTGCTTCTCCACCGGACCACCACTACGCACGAGTTGAATTACTCACTATTAGTTGCTCATCAACTGCTGCCCCCCCCCCCCGTACAGCTTCAAGATTTAACTAGCTGTAACAGTGTACTATCTACCATGTAACCGTCATAATGTAGCTAGTGTTGTTAACATACTCCTGCATGCCCTGAGCCCTGTTTAGCAAGCGTAGAAGAGGAAATAGCACCTTTGTTCCTTGTACTGTAGCTGCCAAGAAGTAGTCGACCTTTTTTTCTCGAACAATTTGGTGGTAGAGTACCGTACCTACAACTTCGTTGATCGAAGGCAGCGCCAGTTCAGCTTACAGACTTGTCGATCAACAAGCATCCCGATATTCCCCAAGTTAGCTGCCAACAGACACTTGTCTTGATGATGATGTCAAACACCTTCAAGGAACTTAGGAACATGTATAAAGTTATATATTTTAGTGGACCAACTAATTTCAGTTTGCACGGTTGAACCCGGATACATCACATGATTGGTTATTTACCGGTACTGCTGTAACAGCTCTCCCAATATCCACAAAAATAATATTAGGATACCTAACACATGCATATATAGATTATTACCAGTCTGGTGTGGAGATGCTCTAAATCGCGTATCTCGATATAATGAATGAGAATGGTCAAATACTTATTTGTTTCTTTTTTTTTCAGGCTAGAGAAATGGAGGAATATCTTTCAGTGGTACAACAGAAGCTGGCACAACTTACAAAAACAATAAGATGAGGTCACACAGGAACTTTGGAAAGCCAATGATCATCTACAAGATCAGCTCTCTGACTCCAGAGGACAATATGACTGGCTTCTATCTGATCATGGCCAGGTGCTACATGAGGGACCGTGCAACCGTGAGTTTGAAGAGTTACGTCAGAAAAGAGGCCAGATGCTTTCAGCTTTGGTTGAATCAGTGCATTGTGAGTTTTCATTATCTGAACAGATAGGAGAAAGTGGGTTTAGATGTGCATACAGAAGTATCCTGGGGAACATGGCTGTTGCAACAAAGGTGTTGAAACCTGACAGTCCACTCAACTCATTTTATATCAAACTAGAAAAGGTGGTTGATCTCTAGCTCCTTTCCAGTTCGCAATGTCGAGAGCAACAAAACCTTTTAGTCCTGAGCAAGTTGGGGCGGGCTAGATATGGAAAGGAACATGAGCCACAACAAAAATGAAGAAGTTATGTAATTTAAAAGAAATCAATAGTAGTAGTAATTTTTTTTTAAAAAAAAAATCCTACTTCATAGTTTTGGCACATGGACTGCAGATTTCCACGTGCTGATATCCAAATCCAAGGACAATTGTTTGAGTAGTAAAAAAAATTCGCATCGGAATTATTGCAGAGATGTGTTGAGCCCTGATCTTTCTGCACAAGAACAAGATTGAACCTCTCACCCATCTGTTCATGAAAATCTCAAGCCAGTCAACATCCTTCTCGATGCAAACTTAGTAAGCTTATAGTGACTTGGGTATCTCTCCCCTCCTGCCCTCCTGGTCCAGTCCAGCACCAATGATACAGCTGGAATCCCCTTGTGCATGGCATGGACCCGGAATTCTTCCTTGCCACTGGAGAGCTGACACCTAGCTCCGATGTTGGTCTTTTGACAGGAAAGCAGCCACCTGATGGTATAAAGAAAGAAGATTGTGGGGGAGGATGCGATGCGATGTGATGGAGAAAGGGAAAGGCGACCTGAACTCAGATAGTTGCTGGAGTATCTGTATCTCATCAGGAGAGTGTCCTGATGTGCACGTCCAGCCGCGAGTTAGCACGCCTTGGTCTCAGCTGCACCTGCACAGAGCTGAGCCGGAGGTGCCGTCCTCATCTTTCTTCTTTCAGCGCGCAACAGCAACATTATCTTCTTCACCGCCCTCTCCTCGATCAGCGTTGGATGGAACCTGCAAAAACCGTCATGTTTCATTTGCCAAATATTTCAGGTGGATATAAAAATCGATATTTTTTTCACTATTGTCAGACACCTTTTTTTTTTCTTTTCTGTTCGTGAGCAGTGAATTTTAGCAATGAAGAAACTGAAACCTGAGCAGAATGTGCCATTTGCTTTGTTACTCTGTGAAACTCGAGTAACACGTGATCATAGCTTGGTCTGACGAATAACCACTGCTCGTGTGCATGTTTTCAGGAGCTCATGAACGATCCAACAAGGCGCTTCGTTCTGCCATCCAACCATCCTGGACCAGGAGTGGCTCCAGCAGCAGCAGAGAATGACCTTGTTGTAGTCAGTCTGTTCTGAATCTGATACTTTGGTTGCTGGCTTGCTGCTGCGTGCTTCTCTGGCCTCCCCAAGTACCAGTACGGTGCCTCTACTACCAAAGTCTTGTGGATTGTGGTCCTCACTCGTGACAAATTGAATTGCCGCGTAACGTCTACTAATTTCGTTGCTCATCAAGACATCAACAGCTATCACCAGTAAGTACTGTACATCTCAAAGAAAAAAAATGTTATCGCCAGTACAGCTGTACTTGTACTAACATTCAACGTGTAACAGTGTCCCAAGGCATGTAGCTAGGAGTAATTTAGGGTTTAGGCCTAGTGTTTAGCTAGGTGGTACTCCTGTTCCATATGCTGTATTTTGGCAGATTTTTGTTGTCAATGTGGCCGAGCTTTCTGCTCTTTTATGCACAGTGGTACTAGTTAGCTTTGAAATCTAGACATGTACAGGTGTACAGTACTACTGAGGAGCCACAACTAGTGTTATCAACTTTTTGATGGAGTGAGGAACTAGAACTCCGGTGTACAAATGCTGAGTGAGGACGCGGCCAGCACTCTGGGCCAACTCGTGTTTGGCATTGATGCCGTGACAGCCTGACAGGCATGGTTGCCGCTTGCCGGTCCTCAATCAGAAATAATGGCTGTCAGTCGCCGACGCACTCGCACTGTAGCAGTATGTTATTTGTTTTTTTTATTGCAGTATATTATTTGGTTTGGCAGAGAGGCTCGAGGTCGAGGCAAAGCGGATGCCGAATGCGCAAGCCACATGCACCAGCCACCAACCCATTTACATAAGCTCGCGTGGCAACGGTGATGCACCGCACTAAATGCACTTGCACTTGTCTTGCTGCCTTTGGAACAAATAGGGTGGAGGACGATTCTAAAATTCTATTTTTTTTATGGAATGGCTTTTTGATTCATAGGAGTTTTGGAGGAAGTATAATATGAGGTACAAGCTCTTTTTGCTTTGTGTTTATTTCTCTCTTTTAATTTGTGTTTCTCTTTGGGATGTATTCAAATGCTCCATTAGAATATTTCCAGTGTTTCCTATTCTATAATTGCTATGACATGCAATTTCAAAACTCGGCTTCGGGGTAGACACCCCGAGACCCGTTACCCGGTGAGAGAAGCACGAGACAGGTGAGAGGGTTTTTTCCACACCGTCGACCAGAAATTCGCCTGATCAAGGATTCGAACTCTAGTCACGGGGATGCCACCCGGAGGATTGACCAACTAGTCTAGCAACCGTAGGCAGTGACACGCAATTTCAATCCTATATTTTCTTATGACTATGTTTTGGATATCTTGCCTTCCAAAGAGGCATGCAGAGTGAATAGTATCAGGAGATCGAGTGAGTTCTCACCGAGTCCTGCCCTGCGCGATGGGGCACCGAAGTCGGAGCTAAACAACCTGGAGCATTGTGAAACATGGTATCATTCCATGTTTGAAACTTCATTCTCAAAAGTGAAATGGAACAATGCGGTATATCGTTCTAAATGTAGGCTGGAAGTCGACGTAGATCAAATGCATGAAGGAGAGAAAAACCGACTAGGAGTCCAGGACGCTCGCATTAGTGCAGTTCCTCATCCTCACTGTACACATTGGATTCTATCCCATGTACAATTGGTGGGCCCACACCCACAAGAAACACAACTAGAAGTACTAAATTAAAGTATCTTGCGTGACTAACTATATACAAATAATATTAGTATTTCTAATATCAAATAAATATCATTAAATTTATTATTTTTTTCAAAACGAGGCATTCTTCATTTTCAAATGACTATAAGAGCATCTCCAAGAGTTTTTCTAAAGCTCGGTATCTAAATCATTATTTAAAGAACCATTTGTATAAATTCGCTTTTATATATCTTTTTTTATTCTCCAACAATTTTTCTATATCTTGTTTGCACTTTAAAGAGCCATTCTTGTATTCTGTCTTTGGTTACCGAGAAATACGGAATAGAATATGACTATATTTAGATAACCAATTAAAGAAGTTGTTGGAGGGTATTTTTTCACTAAAGTCACTATTCTTATCCATTAGAAAGGATATAAAGAGCCTCATGGAGTTACTCTAACACTGTGAAGTGGGAAACCAATCGAAGACAAGGGAAAAAAATGTACTTCAAACGATATTTTTCCAATCTCCCAAACACCCTCGGCCCACCCCACCGGCCCCATCCCACCCACAACCATAAGTTCCAAAGTCCAGCTAAAAAAAGGCTTTATATTATTTTTTGACGTTGAAAAAAGAAGGTTGAAAGGATCAAGATGCCCAAGAGGATGGTGAATTGGGCTAATTCTAAATTCTTTGCAATAATTAAATCCTACGGTTAGCCCAATTAACCTCTTTGTGCCTAAAAAATGTTTCTAGTTGTTCTACCGCACAAATGACTTGCAACCTAAGTTCTAATCCTACTATAACATGGCAATTCTATGAATTGTAAAGACAAGAATTGAATTGCTCAATATAAATACTCAAAGTAATTGCTCAAAGAAATACTCAAAGTAAATAGAGAAGGAGGAACGCGGCGATGTTTTGTCGAGGTATCGGAGAGTCGCCACTCCCCACTAGTCCTCGTTGGAGCACCCGCGCAAGGGTGTAGCTCCCCCTTGATCCGCGCAAGGATCAAGTGCTCTCTAAGGGTTGATTCTTTGACACTCCATCGTGGTGAATCACCCACA